GCGGCAATTGCTGAGGTAGCTACAAAACTCCCGTATTGACCTATTTGGCCTCAGGCCATTTGGGTGCTGTTGGCGCCCTTTGAGAAGGAGGGGTTCCTTGCTGGGTCCCCCACAAAGTGTAAGTGTAGGACACGCTCTGTACAAGTAAGCCAGAGGGGCATTTATCCTATCTTCCCACTGACTCCACCAATAAATCGAAACCTATGAAGGCGGAATCCAAGGACGTTTAAAGGGACACCAAAGGGAACGCTCTTTCTGTTTGGGGGCGGGGGTCCCAGGAGACAGATCCATTCAGCGGGAGGCCACGAGGAAAGCCGCCGATGTCGAGACAAACCCATGTCAGGTGTGGTGCGGGAGATATGCTAGAGCGCTGGAAGAAGCAGATGCCGTAAGAGGGACGGGCGCCATTTGGATGCAGCTCAGACAGGGCCAAAAGCACAGCCCTAAGCATTGCCAGACTTGACTAACAGGTTAAACTAGTCTCGTAGCCTCCGTGCAGCCACTTGCAAAGTCGGCTTTCGATAAAGGTCTGCGTGTAGCCCCTTTGTTTTCAAGTGAAGGCCTGTTGAAGGCTTGCAGCTTGCAAAGAAAGGTGGTTTGTTGGATGTGTTCTGGCCTGGCGGAAATTGAGTTCGCTCGTTCCACGTAGCCTCAGCGTAGCCAAGCCCCCGTGTAGCCTACAAGGTCTGTTCGAGTCGCGTGGCTGCCTTCCAGAGCCATTCCAGTATTGCTACTACTGCAACTACTGTAACTGGCGCAACTGCGCTGCTACTCCTACTGCTACTACTGCTGCTACTACTGCTACTGATACTGCTACTGCAGTTTCTACTACTCCACGACGACAACGACGACGACTACTGCTACTACCAAGTAGGTATGTGATTCCAGCCTTTAGGCCCCACAAACTCAAAAACACACTGCTCAAAAGAGTCCCTTGAGACTGTTGGTTTCCTGTTTGCCCTGCCTTCTAAAAAACCATCAGCCTGGGCAAGTTTAGCGATCTCACAAAGTGTTGGCGTGCAATCAAGACACAATCCGTCTCATGTCAAACCGCTGAAAATGGGCTTCGGTTTGCATTGGGTCTCTCCTCAACACAACCCCTACAAGCGCGTCAAAAATCACGCCGTGTTGTGCGTGCTCGGCTAGGGTCATGTCTTGATTGCCAGGGTGCTTGGCTTTTGTCACCATTGCGATGCCTGCGAAGTACGTTGACATAGTAAGGTAGTGCCCTGCAGATTTACATGGAGCCCAGCAAGTGCTCGCCCAAAAGGAGGTGTTGCGAAAGATGATAGATTTCCAGGTGACATGTTGATCTGCAGGATAGTAGTCATAGGGAGGAACACCCACTTTGGTAGCACAGAAAAGGTCAGAGTCATTCTCCAAAAACAACGGGCGACGCTGCAAAGAGTTGGCACGTCAGGTGCTGCTTTGGATGTTTCGAATCCTTTTTGGTTCATTTCGCAGGGTGAGCAACATGAACATGAAGTCATACTGTGGGTGAACATTCCTGCACCAGTTGGGATGGATGAAACCCTATGAATAGTGGGATTAACCACCTATCAGCTGGTGCAGGCATTTGTCAATCAAGTGTACACTGTACTGTTCTTTCGTTAGCAACACGTTTTCCAGCATGCACCCAAGGAGAGAAGCGTGCGTGCGTGCGTGCGTGCGTGCGTGGGTGGGTGGGTGTGTGTGTGTGTGTGAGTGTGAGTGTGTGTGTGTGTGTGTTTGTTTGTTTGTTTGTTTGTTTGTTTGTTTGTTTGTGAGACAGAGAAAGAACGAGAAGGCTTCTCCTGCATTTTGAGACTGCTCATGCTGCACACGCCATCGGACATGGCTGCAGAAGCGCATGCTGAACACTTGCTTGCCTTTGTTGCATTTGGGTATGTGTCAAAATAGGACAACCCTCAGAATGGTGGTTGTCTTTTGGTTTCTCTGCAATCCAACCTGAAAAAGGACATGCACGCGTTTCACAGCACAATTTGGCTTGTTTCGTACGATTGTTGGCCGTTTTCCTCCATGTTCGTGGGGAACATGTCGGAAACCCATTGTAGCATGGGGTCGAAACAAGCGCGACGTCAGGTTCGATTTGACTTCAACACCTTTCTGAAGAAGCTTTGCCCTGTGCTCAGTACTTCAAGCAGATGCCTACACTGTAAGATTGTTCCTTTGTAGACTATATATTTTCGGACTTTCTTGCTGAGCTAGCGCTTTCACTTTTTGTTGACTCAGCAGTATGTCTATGGGTCCCCCACTGTCAATAACAAGGATTTGTGCGAGCGGCAGTCCCTTTCGGGTGCTGCTGGACGCCGCGACTTTCCTTTTCACGTGAAGGTTGAAGATGAATGGACTCCCTCTATTAGTGTACCAAAGTTTCTTTTAGGTGTCCCTTGAGTCCCTTTGTTTTCGCGAAAAGGGTGCTGTGCTAAGTGTGTGAAACAATGTAGTTTTGGGCTGATGTTTACAATGTTCTTTTTCTGCCCCCAAGGCAGGCTTGGAGTTCAGGGTGTAGTTTTCCAGAACCCTAAATAAACACGTTCAAGGCATTTCGCGGGGAGTTTGTTGAACCCTGTCAAAACGTCTCCCGTGCAGATTTTCGCTGGAACAACAAAAAACCGCATTCTTACGGAAATCCCCGGTTGAGGGACCCGCGTGTTCGGTTCTATGTTCATTGCTGGGGAGTATATGTCCCCAAACCTCACCCCACTTAAAGAGCCCCACCCAATCAAAATCCCCCTCCCCCTCGCCTTGACCCCCAAAACATGTTGTTTGTCTTGTGATATCCCTAAGCCAAGCTGAAAGAGTGAAACACACACCCCGCAAATCACGCGCTCTGCCTGCGTCCCAGGCCCCAAGGCAGGCATCGCCCATCTGCGGATGTACCACAGCTGGCTCAAGGACGAATCAATCCGCGCTCGGCGCGTGCGCGTCGCCTGTGCGGGTTTGTGTTATTTGCTTTCCATGTGCTGAAGTGTTGTTTTTGTTTAACAAAGATTTCCACACCCTCAGACTTGCAGATGGTTGGACATTGCAAAGATTGATGACATAGCCCAGATTATTTTTTAGCAAGGGATGAACAAATGAATAAGATGTTTAGCCTCATGTGTTCCTTGTTTGAGATGTGTTGTGTTCTCATGTTTTCCATGTCTGTTTCCTTGGTTGTCCCAGTTGTGTTGTCCCAGCTGTTTGGAGAATTGTTTGTTCCAATTATTTTTCTCAGTTGTTTTTGTGTTTGGAGGTTGTGTATTGTTTCCTTTGCTTTGAAGTGACACCAAGAACGGGTGGCAGTTGAATCACCCGCCGAGAATCTTTATACGGCTCGGGGCTGTGCCCAAATTCGGCCTATGACCTTTGGGTGTCAAGATGTTGCTTGCCCATATTAGTGTGTTCATAGAGTTAAACCTTTCTGGGAATGTAGTTTGAGTACCACAAACAAGTTGTTCGACTGTTCTTGCCAATCCACGCAGGAACTGAGTGTGTCCTTTTTGGAATTGGTGCCCGTTTTGCGGTTTGTTTACGGGGAAGCTAATGGGAAAGCGCCCATTCTTTCAGGGGGGACCTCCGTATACAGAGACACACCCATATTAGTGCCTTTTGGGTTGGTAGACCCCATTCTATATCGAATCCTGACCACTTATTATAGGTTGAGCGTTGTGCGTACCAAAACCCTTTGAAGGGGCAAACGAATATTCGGAAGCCAACAGGGGAAAACTCTATAAATCTGATCGGAAAACCGAGCTGGAACCAACATCGCTATGTTGATTCAGTTCCTCACGTTTCAACTTGCTGGGGATCCTTGGGGGGGGGGGCACTCTCAAGGTGGTCGCAAAAGGTTGCCAATAAATTTGGATGTTCAAGCTACGGTGATGTGACTTTCATTAATACATAAAAATCAGTGCTTGCTGACTTCCCTTGCATTTTGAAGGAGGGGCCCAACGTGACTTGCAACTAACAAGGGGACACGTTGCTCTGAACCTAGAAAAAGAGCAGGGTCAAGCAAAATCGATCTTGTTTGCCAGGGATCTGGAGGTGGCGAAAGCGGGAGCAACCAGCATTCCTTGCCGTGATATACAACCCGCCCACACCTTATGGCTGCCATGTTAAGATGGGCTTCCTTGTGGGGTGATGGAAAGGGATTTGGAGCAGGCAAAATGGGTGGTGTTTGGAAAGAAGGAAGGATGAAGAGACTGGAATGCACAGCTTCAAAATGAAGTTGCAAATTATGCCCCCCCCAAAAAGGAATGGTTCTTTTTTCAAAGTTCACTGGGCAGGGCCACGAGCTCAGCCCGGGGTTAGCCGAGCTCACCCATGAAGGTCCGTTCACGGGGGGTCTTCTTATTTCCAGTGGGAATTGTACTAACTTGCCCAGAGTACTTGAAGGTAATCACAAGGGACAGTGCATAGGGATCACTCCAACTCGTTCTTTGCTTATCGAATCAGCAAGACTGGGTGTTAAATAGCATGTATGATTTAGGTTTTTGAACAATTCCCAGGAAGCAGCGAGGGGATGAACAATTCCATCCACAAACCGGGAACCTCACAGAGGGGTCCTGGAAGACTGCTCCTTTAAAAGGGACATATAATGAGTTCCATGATAGTGGACCAAAGGGTGATTGTTCAGCCCCTGAAACAAAGCACCCAGAAGACGAGCATTTCGGAAACCGCAGCGATTTCCATCGGATCAGGAGTTCGACAGCCTGCAAGCCGAGAAGTCCACGCTGGAGAGGAGTCAACTGGTTCGACGGTCTTATGATAAAGCCTCTAGTTTTGGTCAAAACAAACAAATTTCACAGGGAAGCCTCTTGTTTTGAAGAGGGACCCTTGCGAGCACGCAAAAGGCACTTTTGGTTTTGTTCCTTTCCAATAGGCGAACTCCAAGCAGTGGAACGGAGCAAAGCGGAGCAAAAGGGGATTTCAGCGCAGCTCCCTGGAGACTCATTGGAGCATTGGACTCTTTGACTCGCTTGACATATGAAAGACACAGGCAACGAAATGTGGTTCTGGGAGCATATTGGGGCAAAGCGAGGCCGCACAATATCCCGACCGCCGAAACCAGGGGACTCACCAATTGTGTCGAGTGGACCTTTGCGTATTTTATCGTGGTGCAGGTGTCACGAAAGGGCACCCTGTGTCAACGCAGCACCCCTCCTGGTCCATTTCAAAAGGTACTAAACAAGAGGCTATTACAGGTATAGTGGGAAGTACCGTCGCCTCCAAAATGGTTGGAAACCCTCACTTGATGTCGACCAAAGGGTTCTCCGTTTGGCGGTGCCCCGTACTCTTGTCATGGAATCCTGGCACATACGGCTTGCGACCTCACGGTCTGGGCTTGCGAGCGAAGGCACATGCTGATCCGGTTCATTTCAGAACTTGTTTCGATCGGTGAACCATGATAATTCATTCAGGGTAGCAACGAACACATGCATGTAGAAACTGCAACGAACTCTTTGGGACGGAATTTGGGCAAACCTCAGGAGACCATTGTTGTTGTTTTTTATGTTCGGACCCTCTATGTTAGTTTTGTTTGGACATAGTTCTCACCCAATACTTGGGAAGTAGAATATTTTAAGCTTTACTCATAATCCTTTTGGCAAGCAAAGCTATTAGAAAGCTCGCACTGAGATTGGCCCAGCCTTCTGTGTTATTGCTTCGAGGGAAACTGAAAGGACGTCCTGATCACTACCTGAACTTAGGACGCCCCTATTTGCAGAGTCTCCTTAGTCGACCTGACCGTTCAGATTCCGTCCTCCGCGAGGAGTCAGCAGATGCTTGCGCTTTTGCAGCAGTACAGCTCGCTGCCGGCCATCACCGAGCGCATCAAACACGAGTTGAAGTCCAGCGTCCCAGCTGCAAGGGACCCTGAGGTTGGGCTTACGTTTTGGGGCCAAGCTCAGTGTGGACGGGTTGCAAAATTAGGGTTTGCCGGTTTGCCTCTAAAACAGGGGAACACCAAATTGCCTCAGAACGGTTGGGCTGCCTTCGGTTAAACCTATCCTAAAGGGTGTCTTCAAAGGAAGACACGCCAATTTGTTTTGAACAACTGCCCCCCGGTCTCCTTAGAAAAACCGAAAGCATGTTGCTTAAGCCAAAGCGGTGGGCTCCCTGATGCTTGCGAAGTTTGCCAGTGCCCCTCTCTTTGCAACAGGGATCACCATGATTCCTTTTGATTTTTGGGGTGATCTGTACATTAGGTGTTGGTCGACCTTCGAAAGCAGTTCCATTGGGTGGAGCGATGTACAAAGATATGAGAGGAGCCTGTTTTGCACGGAGGGATTCTCACAAGCCATCCCAACTTTTCGTATCCTGAAGGACATGGAGTTCCTCTGACCCACCGGGTAGCTTTCAGAACTTGTTTTTTTGTTTTTGATTCAGCTGCCACAGATTTGTGCTTGGTTATGGAAAGTTAGCAATTTGGGTTGTCATTATCTCGCTCTCTGTGATACCACCGGAACCCCCTTACAGGGATAAAGTACTCAGTGCGGAAATCCTTCTTTTGACAATCAAGAAAGGATTGTTTCCCACAATCACGCTCCACCTGTTTCTTATCTGGGCGAACTTTATGTTATGTTTCAGTCAGACTCGTTGCCTCGGCCCGGTTTCCGGTAGCCTCTCCCTGAAGGCTTTGGCTCCATCGACAGGCAGGCAGTTGGGAGCAACGGACAATATGGGCATATGTGGGGGTCGTTTTTCAGGGTGCTCTCGGTTGGGTGGTTTCAAAGGGGAACAAAAGGAACACTCCCATTTTCAGAGTCCCCTATTTTGTTTCAGATCCATGCAAGTCTCTAACATAATGGAATGTGTGCATATTACTCCCGTGCGGGTTAACATGGAACAAACGCAACTGCATCATTGTTAGACTGCTCTCCTTTGGGGCCTGATCCTCTGTTTGGGGTTCTATTTTTTCAGAAGGGTACGATTTTTCGAAAAGGATGGGACTAATCTCCCCATTTCACAAGGTGTTAGGAAGCGCGACGGAAAAGCGCTAGGCGCCTTTACTGTTTTGTGCCTTTTTATGGAGGGCCTCCAAACGAGTCACTGTTCATCAAACATTTGAAGTGCCCAGCTTTTTCGGGGATCCGAGCTGTTTGCAAAAACAACGAAACGGGACATTGATTTTGGTCTTTGGTTTTGTTGTTCTTCCGGGTACCAAAAAAGTAACTTTCTTGTGACAGGGTCGAATGAGAGAACCCCTGTTGGCCACAGTCTCATTAGATTGCCGTGTCGGGCAGGATCCACATGGATCGGCCAGTCCCGATTCTGGAAGTTTATGCTGTGGAGTGCTGAACAGGAGATCACTCATGGATGTGGCTGGGCTGATACTGTGGATGCACAACTAGATTCGCACTCGGGATGGATGAAGCCCTGCAACTGTCATAAACCACCAGCTCACCATGATTTTGTCCATCCACAGTATGCAACATGTGTGGAGGACCCTCGTTTTTCAATGAGCAAACCCAAATGAGCGGCGATCAAACATCCTATGAAGAAACTTTGTCTTATGATGCCAAAATGGGATTCCGCGGAAGGATTGGCTCAGGGCACGGAAGCTTGCCGAAGCTTCTGCGCAGCACATTGCAAGCTTTGTTGCCGCGGAAGCCCGCGGAAGCTCTGATTTGCATTTTATTTTCTTGCTAGCTGCACAGGTTTCAAACAAAATGAACCATTTATGTTGGCTCAAGCAAATTGCGTTTTTTGGCGCCTGGTTCTCGTAGAAAGAAAAAAAAAGCAACTTGCAAGCCAATTTGTTTGGGCCAAACAAATGGTTTTTATTACGCCCCAGCACACCCCAACAAACCAAAGAAAAGGCACACCAAAAGCAAACCAGGGAAGAAGCAAACCCTTGCACGTAAATTGACACCGCGGCTGAAAACAAGGTGCATGCTACAGACTGATTCACTCCGGCCCTCTGGCCGATGCACGCGCTAGCTTCACATGTCACGTCCTCCTTTGTGAAGTTGCAAAAACCAAGAGCGATTTGTTTGGCACGAACATTTTTTTTTGGCCCCAGGTTCTTTGGCGAGAACAAACATGTCTGGGATCCCTACTGCCTCAAAAGCAAGCCAACAAAACAGATACATTGAGACACTTTGTTTGGCCCAAGCAAGCTGTTTCTTTCCTGACTCACTCTGGCGGACAAAATGAAGAATAAGCACGATTTATTTGGCTCAGACAAGCGTTTTGCCAATGTGTTTGGGCCAGCACCAAAAGTAATGCATCTTTTCATAGTTTTTAGAAGCCCCGTAGATGCAAATCATATCCAGGCACCAGCTTCTTGACCCTCCGCTCCTTTGCTCAGCTTCACATTGTTCATCCTGTGAGATGGCAACGCACAAAATCAAGAATCACAATTTACTTGGCTCAAGCAAGTTGCCCTTTTTGGATAAAACCAACTGTATTTTGGCTTTTTTTTGCATTTGGTCAGCTGTGAAGAAACAAAGGTGACTTGGAGGAACGCCCGGAACTCCTGCGTGCCAGAAACGGCAGGCTTTCAGCAAATTGTCGCGCGGGAACGTGCAAACAAAGCTTTGCATTTTAGGGCCTCCGGCTCAGGCCGCCGACATTACAGGCCTGCTTTCTTATTTGCGTCCCTTTGGAATTGTCCCCTTGCCCCCTTCCCCTCTGAGATTTTTGCCCCCCTTTCTTTGTTGAGATCCATTCCCCCTTTCCGCCCGAAGGCCTTTTCTCCCTCTGTTTTTTCCCTTTTCCTCCCTAAGATGTTTTCACCCCTCTCCCTGTTGAGATCCTTCAGGGAGAAGATCTGGGAGAAAAGGACTTAGGGGGGAAAGCCCAACAGGGAAAGGGGGGAAAAGATTTAGGAAGGAAAAGGGAGAAGCTCTCAGGGGGGGGAAAGGCCTTAGGGGGGAAAGGGGGAAAAGGATCTCAGCGGGGGGGGGGGAAGATCTTAGGGAGGAAAGGGAGAAGATCTGGGGACAAAGGCCTTAGGGGGGAAAGGGGAGAAATGATCTCAACAGGGAAAGGGGTGGAAAAGATCTTAGGGCGGAAAGGGAGAAGATCTGGGAGAAAAAAGGCCAACAGGGAAAGGGGGGAAAGACCTAAGGAAGGAAAAGGGAGAAGCTCTCAGGGGGGGGAAAGGCCTGAGGGGGGAAAGGGTGGGAAGGATCTCAACAGGGAAAGGGGGGAAACAATCTTAGGAAGGAAAGGGAGAAGATCTGGAAAGGCCTTAAAGGGAAGGGGGGAAAGGATCTCAACAGGGAAAGGGGGCAAAGGATCTTAAGGAGGAATAGGAAGAAGATCTCAGCGGGGGGAAAGGCCGTAGGGGGGAAAGAGGGGAAAGGATCTCAACAGGGAAAGGGGGGGAAAGATCTCAGTGAAAAAGGGAGAAGGTCCCAGGCAGGGAAAAGGCCTTAGGGGGGAAAGGGGGAAAGGATCTCAACAGGGACAGGGGGCAAAGGATCTTAGGGAGGAAAAGGGAGAAGATCTGAAAAGGCCTTAGGGGGAAAAGGGGGAAAGGAGCTCAACAGGGAAAGGTGGGAGAAGATCCTAGGGAGGAAAAGGGAGAAGATCTCGGGGGAAAAGATCTTGGGGAGGACAAGGGAGAAGATCTCAGGGGGGGGAAGGCCTTAGGGGGGAAAGGGGGGAAAGGATCTCAGGGGGGGAGAAGATCTTGGGGGGGAAAACGCCTTAGGGGGGAAAGGGCGGGAAAGGATCTCAACAAGGAAAGGGGGGAAAAGATCTTAGGAAGGAAAAGGGGGAAGATCGCAGGGGGAAAAAAGGCCTTAGGGGGGAAAGGAGGGAAAGGATCTCAACAGGGAGAGGGGGGAAAACATCGTGGGGAGGAAAAGGGAAAAACTCAGAGGGAGAAAGGGCCTTAGGGGGGGGGGGATGGATCTCAACAGGGAAAAATGGCAAAAGATCTTAGGGAGGAAAAGGGAGAAGATCTCAGGGGGGGAAAGGCCTTAGGGGGGAAAGGGGGGAAAGGATTTGAGCAGGGAAAGGGGGGGAAAGATCTTAGGGAGGAAAGGGAGAAGATCTGGGGGCAAAGGCCTTAGGGGGGAAAGGGGAGAAATGATCTCAACAGGGAAAGGGGTGGAAAAGATCTTAGGGAGGAAAGGGAGAAGATCTGGGGGAAAAAAGGCCAACAGGGACAGGGGGGAAAGATCTAAGGAAGGAGAAGCTCTCAGGGGGGGAAAGGCCTCAGGGGGAAAGGGTGGGAAGGATCTCAACAGGGAAAGGGGGGAAACAATCTTAGGAAGGAAAGGGGGGGGGGAAGATCTTAGGGAGGAAAGGGAGAAGATCTGGGAGAAAAGGACTTAGGGGGGGAAGCCCAACAGGGAAAGGGGGGAAAAGATCTTAGGAAGGAACAGGGAGAAGCTCTCATGGGGGGGGGGAAAGGCCTTGGGAGGGAAAGGGGGGAAAGGATCTCAACAGGGAAAGGGTGGGAAAGATCTTAAGGAGGAAAGGGGGGGAAGATCTTAGGGAGTTCCTGAGAGCTTCTCGCTTTTCCTTCCTAAGATCTTTTCCCCCCTTTCCCTGTTGGCCTTTTTTCCCCAGATCTTCTCCCTTTCCTCCCGAAGATCTTTTCCACCCCTTGCCCTGTTGAGATCATTTCTCCCCTTTCCCCCCTAAGGCCTTTTTGCCCCAGATCTTCTGCCTTTCCTCCCTAAGATCTGGAAATGAAGGGGGGAAAGGGGGAAAGGATCTCAACAGCGAAAGGGGGGGAAAGATCTCAGGGAGGAAAGGGAGAAGATCTGGGGAAAAAATGCCTTAAGGGGGAAAGGGGGGAAAAGATCTTTGGGAGGAAAAGGGAAATCTTTCTCGGGGGGAACAGGCCCTAAGGGGCAATCGGGGGACAGGATCTCAATCGGGAAAGAGAGAAAAAAACTTTGGGAAGAGAAGGGTGGAGATCTTGGGGGGAAAAGGCCTTAGGGGGGAAACGGGGGCAAGGATCTTAAGCGGGAAAGGGGGGAAGAGATCTTAGGGAGGCAAAGGGAGACGAACTCAGGGAAAAGGACTTAGGGAGGAAAGGGGGGGAAAGATCTTTGGGAGGAAAAGGGAGAAGAACTGAGGGTGGGAAAAGGCCTTAGAAGGAAAAGGGGGGAAATAAATGATCTCAACAAGGAACTGGGGGGGGGGTTCACCAGCATAGGCAACATCCCCAGCATCACTTGCATCATCCGCATCCTTGGCAGGCGCTGATGCGGATGATGCAGGTGATGCTGGCGATGTGCCGCTGGAGCTGCTAAGGATGCGAAAGCGCACCCGGGGGGAATCGAACACCCCAATGTTTTTGACAAACTGAGTTGCGCAAGCCCGCACAATGAACAGATTTAGTGAAGCCTCTTCGAATCACCGCGTGGTACGTGGAACCCCCCCCCCCCGCAATAGTCTGAAATGCTGCCCCTGGTTAGGGGAGGGGTAACAGGTAAAGAGGTAAGGAGCATTTCTTATGTCCAACACGCCGCCTGTTGTCGGCGGATTTGCCCCAGCAAAGCTCAACAGAAACCCCACAGTTACCGTGCCGGAAGCCGCGGAAGCAAAATGCTTGTCCAGAAGCAAAAACCCGTGCCGCGGAAGCCAGCGGAAGATGCGCGGACACCAGTCCCATATTCTGACCTTTCGTCCTTTTATTTGCGGTCACCGCTGAAATGTCGCCACCTCCCCCATTACCAGTCTATTAGAACCCGAAAGGCATGGGTTTCAGCACCAGTCAGCCAAACCTGCGGCTTGGGTGGCAGTCTGTGCCGTCCCTTTTGCTTTGCAGGCAATCGATGGCAGCGTTATTTCCTGATTTGGCAAACGTCAAGCTTTTGTTAGCAGGGTCTTTAGAAGGGGCTCAGATCTCCCGATTTTGACACATCCCCATTTGCAGGTTTTTTTCCACGTGCATCAGCTTGCCAGGGCTCACCAGGGCAAAGTCACCACAGCAGATTTGCAGGCCGCGATGGCGTCTTTGTCCGCAAGAGTTGTCACTCCCCAGTCATGCGAGGTTCGATGTCAAAGTTTCCTGATTTGTCTATGGTCCATTTGGAAAAGGGACGAGAAGGGGTACTCACTAAATTTCAAGTCATACGGTCGATCCTCGGAATTCGGCCATGTTATTTTATTGCTGCCTACATAGGAAGCCTAACGATGGATTGTCGAGATGATGACGATCCCCAAGTTCCAATGGTTGTAAACATCCCCACCCCAAATCACTGGTGTACACATCACGAGCGCCGGCGAAACCGCAACCGACCCCCTTTTTGAGGACCCCCAAATATCATCCCGATGTTCAGTGACACCCTTGTGAGACGATGGTGATGATGATGGTGATGATGATGATGATGATGATGATGATGATGATTATGGTGATGCAATGATAACATAATAAAATGATCACATGAGATGACGATGACGACGATGACAAGCACTCGCCAGCTGCCTTGGGTCGCTGTCCTGGTGGCACTGTGATTTGTTAAATACAGAAAACTTCATGTCGCTGTTTGCTGAGGAGATACATGCGTTTGACAGCTGTATATGTGCTTTTGGGCAGCTCACACATATCTAAGAACCCTTACAATTACATCTAGTTCGTCCACTTCGCATAATTCGATTGCTCCAGCTTTGCAACTTACTTCGTCAACTTAGTGGTCAACCCAATCTTCTCATTTTCGCCAAGTCCAATTCCCTTACTTGATTCAATCAGTGTGAGCAGCTCATTGGTGCTTGCCAACGGTTTTTGCGACCCAGGTTTCGGGTATCAAGCTAAACATTGTAACCATAGGAAAATCATGTTTACTGTATATAATTTAGCCCCATTCCTGTTTTGCGTATGGATCCTCAGTCACCCATATTATGGGTGACTTATTCTTGCATTATGTGTACATGCTAGGGAACATCTTCACATATGCAATATAGAAAATCCATGTGGCACATACATATGTGCACACATTTGCAGATGTATGTACATGCATATGCATGCTCACTTGGCCAAAGTTGACCTTGTGACTTTGCAAGCACGTTGTGCCTTTGAATTGTACGAGGAAGTGGCCACCAACACGGCCCAGAGCATGATGCAATACTTTGACATCAACGGTCTGGAGCCAAGACTCGCCAAGAACCGTGTCATGATGCCATGGGGTGCCAGTGGATCGGGACGTCTCCCCAATCAAAATCAGCTAGGGGCTCTGCTGAATCAAAGTGACCATACTGATTCCCGGAAAAACATGTTGTGCTGGTTCGAGCCGGCTGCAAGGGGAGCCATGGGAGAATCAAGACCACTTGTCCGTGCAAACCTGTTTGCAGCCCGAACGGCTCAAAAAACACTACCTGCAAGAGGGTTTGGTGCTCTTTGATTAGTTGGGGTTAAAGGGGCAACCGTCTTTCTTTTTGGAAGATACTCCTACCCCGTGGTCCAGTTTTTCTTGGTGGCTTCCCTGCCACTGGTGACGAGTCCAGGGCGTTTCGCGGTGGGTTTCAGGTGATGGCTCAGTCGACCTGGAGGAGTATGTCGCCCTGGGACTCAGAGTGCCAAACCACCCGCATCACAATGGAAACGGACTGACCGCTTTGCTGTGACTGGGTCTCCTCCAAAACAAGTCAGATATGTTTTAGGGACTAAATATGAAACAGAGTCAGAAAACATTATGTTTGGAGTATCCTAATGTGGGTCAAATTAAAGGGGATTCTTTGGGCTCGATGTTTGCTGGGAGGGTGATAATAAATCGGGACCCATTCATTGGTACCTGGCCTGGGGCCAATTCAGGCAAGTACCCAAAACCCAAATGGCAGGTGGCTCCGTTGGAATGATGTGCACCAAAGGGTCCCCAATTGGGATTCATAATTTCCCCCACTCCGCTTACTCATGTGTTTTTCGCGTTGCGCGATTACAAGGTTATCTTAGGCGCGGTTGAACAGGCACTTGCGCCAAACACTTGGCGATTTGTCTGGGACATTAAAAGTAGGGATATGGAGGGCTTCCCCTCGAGGGTTGAAGTGTTCGAAAAACCTCTTCTGGGGAGGGGGGGTCGAGGCGTTTAACGGATGACAGTGGATCAATCATTTTGGTTGACAGCTTGTTCGCTTGACATGGGGTTGAACATCCAAGTGGGTTGAACATTGCTTGAGTACCCCAAGCAGGAGTTGCAAAAAGCAATGGCAAGTTCATCAATTTGCAGAAAGCTGAAGTCTCCTCCAAAATTATTGTATATTGTGGGGTTGACTATCTATGAAACAGAACCGTTTTGAATCTTTCTGCTTGCCCCAGATGGGGGCCTTCTTATCATGGGCAGCGACCGACCTTTAGTCAAGGCCAAGTTGGTGGTTTCAAGTCGGCTTTGGGCTATGTGGGGTTGTCTCCAAGGGAGCTCAAGCAAATGGAAGATGGTTCCCTTCACGTTGTTGGGTTTCAGCATTTTGCTGCTCAGATGCTTCGGGATTATAGACAGCCACAGATGACCAGCAAGGAAGTTTCCAGATGTCGAGGCTGCAATGTGTCCTCCTACTCACCGGCTGCCATCCAAGATCAAGGACACGCTTAGTGCTTGCCTTTGACGGATGACAGGACGTGCTGAAGCATGGAACCCCCAAAATCAGCATAGTTGCAGGACTCACCTTTTTGGCGGAACCCTTTAAAAGCTCACGGGGCAAATCTGGGTGTTTGGACGGCCGGTTGAAAGGTTGCAGGTCCAGGGGTTGCCGTTGGGAAATTCAAGGGCCCTTCTTCCTTCCTCGCTGAATCTGAAAGGCACGCGACTGGTTTGCTGCTGCATTAGTTGGGATCTGCTCAGACAACCATGGCAGTGCATAGGAAGTTCTTGGAAAGCTGCAATATTCTGTAGGCCTCCGGTCTACTTGCATGATTGTTGAAAAACTAGGTCATGGATGTGGACCACCCTGCCGGCGTTCTCTTGAAGAACGAAGGCCCTGCTTGAAACCTAGAAAGTGTGGACACCCTCTTCGAGGGGGTTCCTCTATTTCTGAAAGGAGGGGAAATGCACAGGCAAACTCTAGAAGAAGTCCTTTGGAGTCTCTTTGAGGATTGACCCTTGTGGACCCCAT